GTGTCTCCCCACTGGTGTGTCTCCCCGGTGCTGTGTCTCCCCACTGGCGTGACTCCCCAGTGCCATGTCCACGCACTGGCATGTCTCCCCGGTGCTGTGTCTCCCCACTGGCGTGTCTCATATGTAGCTATATAGAACTTTAGTTAGGTCACATTTGGAATATAATGCACAGTTCTGGTCACCACACTACCAGAAGGATGTGCATGCTTTGGAGAGGGTACAGAAAATGCTTACCAGGATGTTGCCTGGTATGGGGGATTTTAGCTATGAAGGAAGGTTGGATAGACTGGGTTTGTTTTCACTGGAATGCAGGAGGTTGAGGGATGACCTGTTAGAAGTTTATAAGGTTGTGAATGGCATGGATAGAGTGGAAAGTATGAGGCTTTTTCCCGGAGGGGAGGAGTCAATTGCTGGGGGCCACAGGTTCAAGGTGTGGGGGGGGTTTAGTTTAAAAGAGATGTGGGAGGCAGGATTTTCACACAAAGGGTAGTGAGAGCCTGGAACGCACTGTCAGAGGAGGTGGTGGAAGCAGACACAATAGCAGCATTTGAGAAACACCTGGACAAATACATGAATAGGAAGGGAATAGAGGGATACGCATCCTGTAAGTGAAGACAGTTTTAGTGTGGAAGAGCAAAATGTGTCAGCGCAGGCTTAGAGGGCCGAAGGGCCTGTTCCTGTGCTGTAGTGTTCTTTGTTAGTCTCCCTAGTGCCGTGTCTCCCCACTGGTGAGACTCCCCAGTGCTGTGTTTCCTCACTGCCATGTCCCTCCAGTGGTATAAAAGCAGGAAATGATGGAAATACTCAGCAGACCTTGATCCAGTTGTGGAGAGAGATTGGTGAATATTTCTGGAATTTGCTATTTTTATTGCAGATTTCAGTGTCTGCAGTATTTTGATGTGACCTTATGTTGTTCATGGATATCCCTGCAATTGTTACATGCTCCATATTATTCACAAGATGGGGGAGCATGTAGACAGAAAACTGACAGAATCAGACAAATATAAGATTTCCCAGTGTGCCAGTGAAAGCAATGTCTATCACAATCTGCCAATCCAGTGCCATTCATTACTGGTCAGCTTCAAGCATTTTGCTGCATTAATTTAGAGTCATTGCATCATAGAATCCTACAGCACAGAGATAGGCCCTTTAGCTCAGACTGGTCCGTGCCGACCAAAATGTCCATCCACGCTAACCCCATCCCCCTGCACTTGGCCCATATCCTTATAAATCTTTCCCATCTATGTATTCATCCAAACATCTTTTAAATGTTGTTAATGTACCCGCCTCAACCACTTCCACTAGCAACTCATTCCATATGTGTACCACCTTCTGTGTAAACAAGTTGCCCCTCAGGTTCCTTCCATTCTAATGATCAGAGGTATAGATAGAGTAGACAGCCAGAGACTTTTTCCTAGGGTGGAGGTAGCTATTACAAGGGGGAATAGTTTTAAAGTGAGTGGAGGTACATAAAGGGGAGATAACAGAGGTAGGTTCTTTACACAGAGAGTGGTCGGGGCGTGGAATGCATTGCCGGAGAGGGTAGTGGAGTCGGCCTCATTAGGGGCATTTACGCAGCTATTAGCTAGGCATATGGATGATAGTATAAGATAGCGGTGGAGGTTAGATAGACCTTAGGATTAGGCTAAAAGTTCGGCACAAAATCGTGGGCCGAAGGGCCTGTACTGTGCTGTACTGTTCTATGTTCTATGTTCCAATGTATTCTTTCCCCTCTTACCTTAAACTGATGTCTTCTAGTCCTTGATTTCCCAACCCTGGGAAAAAGACTGAGTGCATTCACCCTATCCATGCCTCATGATCTCATATACTTCTTTACTCAGAGAGTAGTAAGGGCGTGGAATGACCTGCCTGCAAAAATAGTTGACTCGCCAACTTTAAGGGCATTTAAATGGTCATTGGATAAACATATGGATGATAATGGAATAGTTTAGGTTAGATGGGCTTCAGATTGGTTTCACAGGTCGGCGCAACATCGAGGGCCGAAGGGCCTGTACTGCGCTGTAATGTTCTATGTTCTATGTTCTATGTTCTATAAGACTCCCCCCTCAGTCTCCTACTCTCTAAAGAAAAATGTCCTAGCTTGTCCAACCTCTCCCTATAACTCAGTCCCTTGAGTCCTGGCAACATCCTTGTCAATTTTATCTGCACTCTTTCCAGTTTAATAACATCCTTCCTATAGCAAGGTGACCAGAACTCAAGATTCTGTTAGCTGCTTCCTCAATCAGCAGAGACCCTCGGTCTATTTCTTGAGTAATCCTGGGGTCAACAGGGAGGTCTTACTGCAACTGTACAAGGGCTGGTGATACCACATCGGGAGTACTATGAGCAGTTTATTTCACTGGAGGCAGCTCAGAAAAGGTTCACGAGGATGATTCCCAGAATGGAGGGATTCTCTTATCAACAAAGACTAAACAGGTTAGGACTTTACTCCCTGGAGTTCAGACGAATGAGAGGTGATCTCATTGAAACATATAGGATTCTTAAGGAGCTTGACAGGGTTAACACTGTGAGGGTGTTTCCCGTCATGGGAGAGGCTAGGGCCAGAGGGCACAGTCTCAGAATAAAGGGGCAGCAATTTAAGACTGAGATGGAGAGGAATTTCTTCTCTCACAGGGTTGTGAGCCTTTGGAACTCCTTGCCATAGAGAGCTGTGTGCTGAGGCCTTGTGTATATTTGAGGCTGAGATAGACTCTTGATCAGTCAGGGAATCAAGGGTTACGGGGAAAGGGCAGGAAAGTGGATGTGAGGAATATCGGATCAGCTGTGATCCTACTGAATGGCGGAGCAGGCTCAAGAGCCAAAGGTGTATTCCTGCTCCTATTTCTTATGGTCTTAACAGAAAGAACAGAGCGGAAACTAGAACTGACATGTGCCTAGGGAGCTCTCCCACTCAAAAAAATCCCATTGCACTCCCCTGCCCAATCTCTAAAATGCCCAATTGATCACTCCTTTAAATTCCATCTCAACTTAAAGGTGTAATATTATCCCACCTTCTGATTGTTGGGCTTGACACAGCGAATGAAAAAGGGATTTGAGGAGCTGAGGGTCGCCATTAGTGAGTGCAGAGAGTCCTAGAGGAAACAAACACGGTGGTGAGAGGAGAGTCAGCAAAATTCCAATCACTGTCATCCACTCAGTCCATCACTCTAACAAACCCTCTCATCCTCACCCTTACCCACACTCTCCGAAACCACGCCAACCCCATTCCTCCTCCCCCACCCTCATTCTCTCCTTCACAGGGAAGAGAGGTGACAGAGGACATGGGAGGGCTAAGTCAGTGTGTTGAGGGTGCGTGGGGAGCACGCAAGTGAAAAATGGAGACACTACTGTCCAAACAGAAACTATCCAAAATCCTGGCCTCTTGTGTAGACATTTTGAAGATTGTGTTTCCTTGGTGCTAAATCAATGGAATTCTCAAACTTTGGTAATCTCTACCTGAGGTTGATATTGTCAGACCAGGGGGTAGAAGGAATGATGTCAGCAAATAACCTGTTACAGCCTGTGGGTTGTGTCAGGGTGCAGGGAAATAGGGGCCAAGATTTAAGGGGTCAGGAGATCAGGGATCAGGACTTTGAGATCAGGGGGTCAGAGTTTGAGCAGTCTGGTGGTTAGGGCTCAAGAGGTCAAAAGTCAAAACTTAAGGTGTTGAGGGGTCAGGGTTTGACCATCATGGTGTCAGGGCACAAAGGGTCAGGAGATACTGACGGCGGCTGAGAGGAGACCTGATAGTGGCCTACAAAATTATCAGAGGCATAGATAGGGTGGATAGTCAGAGGTTTTTTCCCAGGGTTTCAATTACAAGGGGGCACAGGTTCAAAGTGAGAGGACAAAAGTTTAAGGGAGATGTGTGAGGGAAGTTTTTCACATAGAGAGTAGTGGGAGTGTGGAATGCACTGCCAGAGGAGGTGGTGGAAGCAGGCACATTGGTGACATTAAGAGGCATCTGAATGGTTACATGAATCGGGAGGGAATAGAGGGATATAGACCGAATAAGGGCAGAAGGTTTGTTTCTTACTTTAATCAGGGCATGATTATCGGCACAGGCTTGGAGGGACGAAGGGCCTGTTCCTGTGCTGTACTTCTCTTTTGTTCTTTTGAGATCAGGGCTTGTGAGGTCACGAGCAAGGAGGGGATCAGAGTTTCAGGGGTCAAAGGTCTTACTTCAAAGACTTAGGGCTTCAAGGGTACATGTGTGATGATGCTGTCACTTTAAAAGGTTATTTTGTCCTGGTTTCCTTTGAAGAGTTGTTAGGCAGAGGCTTTGAACTGACTACTGAATGCAATGTCAGTAAACAGTTTGTAATGCCTTGGGTTTTTTTTAAGAATTGGAACAATGGAAGCAGCCTGGGTGTGGTCAGCTCTCACAAACCAGGCTTTCTAGTTTTTAGAGATAGTAGGAACTGCAGATGCTGGAGAATCTGAGATAACAAGGTGTAGAGCTGGATGAACACAGCAGGCCAAGCAGCATCAGAGGAGCAGGAAGGCTGACGTTTCGGGCCTAGACCCTTCTTCAGAAAACTTCTGGTTTTTACTACCTTTAGCAACAGAAGCTGTTTGGGGTCTCAAAAGAGTTAGAAGCTTCAGTAAAATGCCTCTTGGCTGCTACGCTCTCTTGATGGCTCTTCCACCTGGTTTGGAGAACTGCACGTAAGAAACTGTGACTGAATTTGCCTTTTTTGTCAAGGGGTGTGTTTACGGAATGTTACTATATTGGAACAGTTAATTAGTAACAGGAGCTGTATCTATTATTCAGTTATGTTTTCCAATAGTTAAGTTAAATTCCTCTTTCTTTTAGTTGTGTTTTAACTATGGTGTTTAAATAATTTGTGCTTTGCTTAACGTTGAGGAGTTTGACCAGCCAGGTCATATCTGGAACACACACTTCACATCTACCTTTAAAATAAGAAAAAGTTAGGGTCGGGACTATTTTCTTAAAATATTTTGAGGGGATCCATAACACACACTTACCCGGAACTGGGAGCTGACAGTCGGTTTGCGACGCTGTGTTCCCATTTTCATTGTGTCATCACCATTATTGCGACTGTAAACTTGCTCAAACAAATCATATATAAAATCCAGCCTGAAACACGACACGCAGAACATGGGCCATAAACACAGAAAGCAGATTTCATTATAACAAGAACACTGCTTCTCACAGTTTGGAAATTTTTAGAGAGATAGACAGAGAGAGGCAGACAGCGAGAGACAGAGAGAGAGAGAGAGAGACAGAGACAGAGAGAGAGAGACAGAGACTGAGATTGAGATTGAGAGACTTGGAGACAGACACAGAGAAAGACAAACAGATGGAGGCAAACAGATGGAGAGGGGTCAGAGAGAGAGAGATGAGTGATAGATGAAGAGAGACAGATAGGCAGACGGAGAGAGAGACAGACAGGCACAAAGAGAAAAAGGTAGAGAGGCAGAGAAAGAGAATGATAACTGAATTTTCACAGTCCTGTGGAGCCAAGGCAGGGGACAGAGCCAGGAATAAATCTGGATATTAATGACTGTTTCTTTTGACAACATCCACATGCTAACTGGAGTGGTGGCACGGTGGCTCAGTGGTTAGCACTGCTGCCTCACAGCACCAGGTATTCAGGTTCAATTCCACCCTCAGGTGACTGTCTGTGTGGAGTTTGTGTATTCTCCCCGTGTCTGCGTGGGTTTCGTCCCACGTCAGGTTAGGGTGGATTGGCTATGCTAAATTGCCCATAGTGTGCAGGCTGGGTGGATTAGCCATGGGAAATACGGGGCTAGGGTAGGGAGCTGGAGCTGGGTCCGGGTGAGATGGTTTATTTTGGAGGGGGGTGGTCACCATGGACTCGATGGGCTGAATGGCCTTTTTCCCCACTGCAGGGATTCTATAATAACACCCTCTGATCAGTCTAATTTGGGCCAACATGATGGGGGCCTGAGGACATTGTAGGAATGTTCACTAAGTTAAGAATTTGGTAAGAGGACGGGAGCCATCAACACTTCTTTACAACCAAACACTGAGAGGCAATCATCACAACTGACACACAATTAACCCCACTGCGAAGCCTCTTCTAAGGATGCCTAACCTGAAGAAGTTACCCTCCTCCCTCCGGACAAACCTCAAGGGATCTCTCTCCCACTGCAACTCTCTCGTAATCTCCTCTCCACCTATCCTCTCCTCTATCCCTCTTCTATCCGCCTCCCACTCTCTCCCTATTTATTTCAAAACCCCCTTCCCCTCCCCCTTTTCTGATGAAGGGTCTAGGCCCGAAACGTCAGTCTCTCTGCTCCTATGATGCTGCTTGGCCTGCTGTGTTCATCCAGCCCTGCACCTTGTTGTCTCCCTACACTATGGTGGCCTGACACACAGGACTATTACTTTGTCCCAATCCTGGAGAGAGTGCCTCCATTTTGCAGCCTGTGGTGTCTTGCCAGTCTCAGCAGTGTCCACTTCTCCTGGTTGAGAGTTGGCCAGACATTATATCAAGTCCTGCCTCTTGATCTTCCTCAGCCTTGCTCCATCCACTCTGCTTATTTGGATGGGGCCCTAAGGCAGCTTCTAAATCAGTGAAATATCCAGAAAAGTCCAGCTTCGCGAAGCAAGCATTCTTACCGGCTATCCTTGAGGAGGTTTAGAATGTCATCTCGAAAAGTGTCCCTATTCTTCTCGAGAAACCCGTGAACGTCATACATGACCTAGGACAGGAAGTAGGCAGTCAGTCAGTGTCAGTGTGTCAGGGACATGCACATATGGGGACAGTGCTGTCCTCAGGAAGAGATCCCTCTGCACCAAGGGAGACAGAGACAATGATACAGATGATTAAAGTATAAAAAGCTTCAATTTTATTGACATATTGTGGCAAGGGTGATGACGGCTAGTAATCCCAACGCACAGTCTAATGCTCTAGGGACATGGGTTTAAATTGAACCTTGCAGCGCATGGGATTTAAATCTGGTTAATATACCTGAGCTTGAAAGCTCAACTCAGTGTCGGTGACCATGGCACTATCATCAATTGTTATAAAAATTTAACTAGTTCACTAATATCCTTTAGGGAAGGAAATCTGACATTGTTACTTGGTCTGGCCTACATGTGACTCCAGATCCATAGAAATGTTGCTAACACATAGCGGCCCTGTAAAATGGGATGGGCAGCAAAAACTGGCCATATCTGCAATGTCCACAGCCAATGAAAAACACAGAAGAAAATCTTCAATAGGAGCACAAGAATATGGAGGTGATACTGAACTGGAATAAAATGCAAGTTCAGCTTCAACAGGAATACTGTGCACGGTTCTGGGCTCCACACCACAGGAAGGATGTGAATCCATTGGACTGCATGCAGAAGAGGATTATAAAAGATTGTTTCCAAGAATTTTAGTTACGAACGTAGATTGGAGAGGTTAGGACTGTTTCCATTGAGAAGAGAAGGTTGAGGGGAGATTTAATGAAGGTGTTCAAAATGACGAGGGGGAAACAGCTGGTGAAGACTAGCTGGTGGAGAGACCGACAATAGAGTGACCGTAATACTGAGAGTTTTAAGATACTAATGGATAGGGATAACAGCAGTCCTTGGGTGAAGGCGTTAAATTGAGGGAAGGTGAACACCAACAATATTAGGCAGGAACTGGAGAATGTGTGATTGGAGGCGGTTGTTTGAGGGCAAGTCTACATCGGACATGTGGGAGTATTTCAAACAGCAGGTGATAGGAGGTCAGGAGCAGCACATTTCTGTGAGAATGAAGGATAGGAATGGCAAGTTACATGAACCTTGGATGACCAGGGATGTTACTAACATTGACAGAAAGAAAAAGGAAGCATGCATAAGGTCTAGGAAGAATGGGAACTGACAAAGCCTAAGGAAAATAAGAAAGAGCTTAAACAATGAATTAGAAGGCTAAACAGGGTCATGAAAAGTCATTAGCAAACAGCATTAAGGAGAATCCCAAGGCTTTTTATACATATATAAAAAGCATGAGGGTAGCCAGGGAAAGGGTTGGCTCACTCAAGGTCAAAGGAAGGAATCTATGTGTGGAGACAGAACAGGTAGGTGAGGTCCTAAATGATTACTTTGCGTCAGTTTTCACCAAGGAGAAGGAATTGATGGAGGATGATCTCAGGGAAGGGAGTATCAAGTTTCTAAGCCAAATTGCTATTAAAAAGGAAGAAGTGTTGTGCGCCTTAAAAAGTATTAAGTCCCTGGGTCCCGATGGGATCTATCCCAGAATATTGAGGGAGGCAAGAGAACAAATTGCTGGAGCATTGGCAGACATCGTTCTTTCATCTTTGGCCATAGGTGAGGTCCCAGAGGACTGGAGAATAGCCAATGTTGTCCCACTGTTTAAGAAGGGTAGCAGGGATAATCCTGGAAATTACAGGCCTGTGCGTCTCATGTCGGTGGTAGGGAAATTATTGGAAAAGATTCTCCAGGACAAGATGTGTATGTGTTTAGAAGCAACTGGACTTATTAGCGATAGCATGGTTTTGTGCAGGGTAGGTCGTGCCTCACTAACTTGATTGTGTTTTTTGAGGAGGCAACAAAGATGATTGATGAGGGAAAAGTGGTTGATGTTTTCTACATGGACTTCAGTAAAGCCTTTGACAAGGTCCTCATGGCAGACTGGCACAAAAGGTGAAGTCACATGATATCAGGGGTGAGCTGGCGAGATGGACACAGAACTTGCTTAGTCATAGGAGACGGAGGGTAGCGGTGGAAGGATGCTTTTCAGAATGGAGGGCTGTGATTAGTGGTGTTCCACAGGAATCATTGCTGGGACCTCTGCTGTTTGTGATCTACATCAATGATTTGGAGGAAAACGAGGCTGGTCTAATTAGTACGTTTGTTTTCACTGGAATGCAAGAGTATGAGGGGGCGACCTGATAGAAGTTCATAAGATTGTGAATGGTATGGATAGAGTGGAAAGTATGTGGCTTTTTCCCAGGGTGGAGGGGTCAATTACTAGGGGGACACAGGTTTAAGGTGTGAGGCGGGGGGGGAGTTTAAAAGAGATGTGAGAGGCAGGTTTTTCACACAACGGATGGTGAGTGTCTGGAACGCGCTACCAGAGGATGTGGTGGAAGCAGACACAATAGCAGCATTTGAGAAGTACCTGGACAAATACATGAATAGGAAGGGAATAGAAGGACACGGATCCTGTAAGTGAAGACAGTTTTAGTGCGGAGGGGCAAAATGTGTCGGTGCAGGCTTGGAGGGCCGAAGGGCCTGTTCCTGTGCAGTATTGTTCTATGTTCTTTGCAACAAGACAGCACAGATTCAAGGCAATTGGCAAAAGGAGCAATGCTGACACAAGGAGGAATTTTATCACGAGTGGTTATGATCTGGAACACACTGTCTGACAGAGTGATGGAGGCGGCTTCAATCCAGATATTCAAAACAGCGTTACATTGCTAATTGAAGAGAATGGAAAGGATATAGGGAAAAGGCAAGAAATTAAGTGAAATGCTTGAAGGACCAGTATAGGCATGATGGGTTAAAAGCCTCCTCCTAGGCTGTTATTATTCTAAGATCTTATTATAGAATCAGAGAATCACATAGTGCAGAAGAAGCCCCTTGACCCATCAAGTCTACACCAACAAAAAAACTACTCTAAATCTACACAAGTCCCACTTTCCAGCATTTGGCCCACAGCTTTCAATGTTATGATACTTCAGATACTCATCCAAATACTTTTTGAAGATTATGATGTTTCCTGCCTCAACTATCCTTCCACGCAGTGAATTCCAGACCCCACCACCCTCTGGGTGAAAAAAACATTTTCTTAAATTCTTTCTAAACCGTCTGCCTTTCACCTTAAAATTATACCCCCTTATTATTGACCCTTCAGCTAAGGGGATTTAGTTGCTTTCTATCCACCGTGTCCATGCCCCTGATAATCTTATATACCTCTATCAGGTCCTTTCTCAGCTGTCTTTGTTCTAAAGCAAACAAGCCAAGCTTATCCAGCCTCCCTGCATCACTAAAATGCACCATCCCAGGCAATATCCTGGTGATTCTCCTTTGCGTGCCCTCTAATGCAATCACATCTTTCCTATAGTGTGATGACTAGAACTGTGCACAGTACTCCAGCTGTGCCCTAACCAAAGTCCTGTACAGCTCCAACATAACCTCCCTGCTCTTCTAGTCTATTCCATGACTGATAAAGGAAGGGTCCCATGTGCCTTCTTAACTACCCTATAAACATGTCCTGCCATCTCCAGGGATCTGTGGACAAACATCCCAATATTCCTCTGTTCCTCTGAGGTTCCTTATGTCCTGCCATTCATTGAGTACTCCCTTGTCTTGCTCCTTCATCCAAAGTGCATCACCTCACACTTTTCAGTGTTAAAGACCATCTGCAGCTGATTTGCCCATCTGACCAAACTGTCTAAAACCTCCTGTAACCCAAGACCTTCCTCTTCACTTCTACCACCAAACAATCTCCATGTCATTCACAAACTTATCAGTCACTGCCACCACCACCCTGCCCACCGCATCCTCAGCCACATTGTTTATATATATATTATATCACTAACATAAAGAACCCTGCACTGAACCCTGTGGTGTATCTGTGTGATATGGACATTGTGTGATACAGGCACTGTGTGATATGGTCACTGTATGTTATTGTTACTGTGCATGATGCTGTCTGATACAGGCCTGGTATCAGACTACTCTCAGACAGACTCACCTCACCAGCATAATGTCTTATCCCAAACTGATGATCAGTTACCCGTGGCTTCACATAGAACGAGTTACACTGCAAAAGACAGTAAAACATCCTTCAGTCTCATGGAATAGGAGGGTAAAAATAGAAGACAGCAAGTGAGAAACTGAAAATGAATGAAGAGTGAGGAGCTGGAGAGACAGAAGTGATGAAAATAGAGGTAGTGAGATGGAGAGGAAAATTTCTCTGGTGCTCAGACTGATCCCACCAACTTGAACGACACAAAGACCCCGCTCACCTGGTGCTGACTGTGCAATTTCTCAAGCAGTGTGGAGTCAGTGCCTTTTGGAAACCGACTCTCCTCATTGATCAGAGCAAGGAGGCCCAGTTTCTACAAGAAGAAAAACTAAGCGTGAGATACCAGTTAGACATAGAGTAAGGCTCCCTCTACACTGGCCCAATCAAACACTCCCAGAACAGGGATAGCATGAGGTTAGAGGTTCTGGTCACCCTTCTATAGGAAGGATATTATCAAATTGGAGAGGGTCAAGAAACGATTTACCAGGATGTTGCCAGGAATGCAGGTTTTAAGTTATAGAAATAGGCTGGATAGGCTAGGACCTTTTTCTAGTGGAACGTAGGAGATTGAGGGGTGACTGAATAGAGGTTTACAAAATTGTTAGGAGCATAGATAAGGTGAAAAGCAAGGGTCTTTTCACTAGGGTGGAGGAGTTCAAAACTAGGGGGCATATTTTTAAGGTGAGAGGTGAAAGTTTTAAGAAGGACATGACAGCAACGTTTTTTACACAGAGAGTGGTTTGTGTGTGGAATGAACTGCCAGAGGAAGTGGTGGATGTGGGTACAGTTACAGCATTTAAAAGACATTTGGATAAGTACATGAGTAGGAAGGTTTGGAGGGACACAGATCAAACACAAGCAAGTGGCACTAGGTTAGTTTAAAAACGTGGTCAGCTTGGGCTAGTTGGACCGAAGGGTCTGTTTCCATGTTGTATGACTCTGTGACTCTACACTTTCCCATCACTCACTCAAGGTCAGGGACAGCACGGGGTTAGATACCGACTAAAGCTTTGTCTACACCATCACCATCATACACTCCCAGGACAGGGACAGCACGGGGTTAGATACAGAGTAAAGCTTCCTCTATGCTGTCCCCCCAAGAAACACACTGAGGACAGGGACAGCATGGGGTTAGATACAGAGTAAAGCTCCCTCCACCCTGTCCCCCCATCAAACATTCCCAGGGACAGGGACAGCACGGGGTTAGATACAGAGTAAAGCTCCCTCTACACTGTCCCCCATCAAACATTCCCAGGACAGGGACAGCAGGGGGTTAGACACAGAGTAAAGCTTCCTCTACACTGTCCCCATCAAACACTCCCAGGGACAGGGACAGCACAGGGTTAGATACAGAGTAAAGCTACCGCTACACTGTCCTATGACATCAATACGGCAGTGCTTTCTCTCTCGCTCCATTGCATTTCTCAGTGACATTGTGGTTCTTGAATTAAATCAGTTCCAAGTTTGTAATTTGGCCATCATATAATCTAGGATTTCTGGGCTACTTCCTAGGATTTTTGCTTATTTCCTGGAATTCAGAAATTGCAAAGTTTCCTACCTTTTCAATCAGGTCCAAACACTCGGCATTATCCATCCAATCAATTGCTTCCCAACTCATTCCTTCTCTACAAAAATAAAGAAATAAACATGATTTGGTGTGATTTTGACACAGGAGGTAGGTGGCAGCCCAAGAGGATGGGATCAGTGCGTTACACTCAGGAAGGACAGGGCAGGTTTAAGGATTGGTTCACAGGTTTAAGCTTGCTCAAGTGACCTCACCTGTTATACTCCAGTTGCTCCAGGGAGAAGATGTGTTTGTTGAAATATTCCTGCAGTTTCTCATTGGCATAGTTAATGTTAAATTGTTCAAAACGATTAATCTATGACAAAAGATAGTCAGCGTCAGCTCTGCAATGCTCAAACCCTCATCTTTCATACCTCAACCACAACCTCTAGATACTTTACACCTCAAACCCCTGCCTCTCTGCTCCCTCCACAACTTCTCAACCCCTCATTCCTCACTCCTCTACTACTTAGCACAATGTCTCAACCCTTTATCCCATAATTCCTCACCCCAACCTCTTAGCCACTCACCCATGAACCACACTTGCAACCTTTCACCCCTGAATCTCAATAACAACCTCTCAAAGCCTCATCACAATCTTTCAACCTCTTACCCCTCAACCATGACCTTGTGACTCCTCATCCCTCAACTCTTCATGAGAACCTCTTGATCCCTCAAAACACAACTGACTCCTTGATACCTCACACTTTGCTTGTGGGTGGAGCTGAGACCATGGAGATGGCAGATCCCTCCCCACCCACTTTCTCCTCAGTTAGGGTCTGAACTATTCACCCACCTCAAAGTTCTCAAAGCCAAAGATGTCAAGAATGGCGATGGATTTGAAACTCTCCTTCCCTTTAATCTTTGTGTTGATTTTCCTAATGATCCAGGAAAAGCACTGGGAATAGAGTGCCATGGCCATGGAATCCCGGGAATCAGCAGCCTGAAATACAGAGAGAGGAACATTAGCGTCCACTCACAGACAGAGTCACAGCACAAGAACAGAGTTATCCCCCCACACCCCACCATGGCACATCCCTGCTGTTCCCGACATGACATGGGCTAACAGGCACAGGGTACAGCTCAGTACTCTAGGGATTTGGTCAAAACGGGAACACTATCTCATTCATTTACCCAACGAGACCATCAATACTAAGGCCATCATTTGTGCACATTCCTAATGATCCTTGAGCTTAGCCAGCTATTTCAAAGGACACTAAAGTGTTGACCACATTGCTGTGAGGCTGGAGTCACAGGAACCTTCCCTAAAGGACATTAGTGAACCAGATGGGGTTTTAGGACAGTGTGTTATATGTCACTGTGGTGGTGTGCTGGAAACCAAGTGCTACCATTCCCGGACTTGTCACAAATATTAAAGATTATAAAAAGTATGTGAAATTCCCCAATTTACCTACCTTATAGACCCAGTTGCTAGAAAGCACAGACCAGGTTTCACTGTACTTCCCCTGACAATGTTCCGGCAATAATACAGAAGGCTTTGCTCCAGAATGAGCTGCAGCCCTGGAAAGACTATTTGTGCATGAGGGTGTGAATAGAGAAATAGTGAAGTTTCGCTTCGCTTTGTGAAGTATTGTGTCAATTGTATAGGAGTTTGGTTAGACCACACCTGGAGCACTATGTGCATTTGGTCTCTATTCTATAGAAGGAATGCAACAAAGGGTTCACCAGACTTGGTCCCAGGATGGTGGGACTGACCTTTGAGGAGAGATTGGGTGAAATGTTGCCTGTATCATGGTTTTGAAGAATGAGAGATGATCACTTTGAAATCTACAAAACACTTAAAAGAAATAGACAGGATATAGATGTAGGTAAAATGTTTCCTAGGTTAGGCAGTCTAGAACTAAGGGTCAATATTTAACAATGAGGATGCTGTGACTTAGGTCTGAGATGATTTTGTTTTAAAACACAGTGGTGTGAATCTTCAGAATTCCCTACCATAGAGACCTGTGGATGATCAGGCATTGCATATGTTTAAGGTAAAGAATGAAAGATTTCTGGTCACCAATGGAGTACAGGGTTATGCAAATTGGGAGGGTAAAGGCACTGGACTGTCTAATCAGCCATGATTGTGTTGAATGATAGGCTGCATCAATAGGCAGAATGGTCTACTCCTGTTTCTATGTTATAAGATCCTGCCCAAGTTGTTCCAGTACAGTTACAACACTGGGATCTACCTGACAATGTGGAAAATTGCCCAAGTATGTCCTGTACACAAAAAGCAGGACAAATCCAACCCGGCCAATTACCGCCCCATCAGCATCCTCTCAATCATCAGTAAAATGATGGAAGGTGTCATCAATAGTGCTATCAAGCAGCACCTGCTCAGCAGTAACCTGCTCAACATTGCAAAGTTTGGGTTCCAGCAGGGCCATTCAGCCTTTGACCATATTACAGCCTTTCTTCAAACAGAAGAGCTGAATTCCAGTGATGAGGTAACAGTAACAACCCTTGACTTTCTGCATTCAACTGAGTGTAGCATCATGGAGCCCTGGCAAAATTGGAATTAATGGTAAATGGAGGAACCTCGCCGGTGGTAGGAATCATACCTGGCACATAGGAAGATGGTTGTGGTGGTTGGAGATCAGCCACCTCAGCTCCAGGACATCTCTGCAGGAGTTCCTTAGGGTAGTGCCCTAGGCCCAACCATCTTCAGCTGCTTCATCAATGACCTTCCTTCCATTGTACGGTCAGAAATGGGGATGTTTGCCAGTAATTGCACAATGTTCATCATCATTCACTATTCCTCAGATACTGAAGCAGTCCATATCCAAATGCAGCAAGACTGGACAATATCCAGGCTTGGGCTGACAAGTGACAAGTAACATTTGCATCACAGAAGTGCCAGAAGATCTCCGACAGTAGAGAATCTAACCACTGGTTTTCAATGGCATTACCATCACTGAATACCCATATCAACATCATAGGGGTTATCACTAACCAGAAACTAAACCAAACTAGCCTTACAAATACTGTGGCTATGAGAGCAAAGTCAGAGGCTAGGAGTTCTATGGCAAGTAACTCTCCTCCTGATTCACTAAAGCCAGTCAACCATCAACAAGGCACAAGTCAGGGGTGTGATGGAATACTCCCCACTTGCCTGGATGAGTGCAGCCCCAACAACACTCAAGAAGCTTGACACCATCCAGAACAAAGCAGCCGCTTGATTGGCACCACATCCACAAACATCCCACTCCCTCCACCACCGACGCTCAGTAGCAGCAGTGTGTACTATCTACAAGATGCACTGCAGAAATTCACCAAAGACCCTCAGACAGCACCTTCCAAACCCACTGCCACTTCCATCCAGAAGGACAAGGGCAGCAGATACATGGGAACACCACTCCCTCCAAGTTCCCTTCCAAGCCACAGGACTAACTTGGAAATATATCGCCATTCCTTTACTGTTGCTGGGTCAAAATCCTGGAATTCCCTCCCAAACAGCATTCTGGGTCAACCCACAGCACATTGACTGCAACGGCTTAAGCAGGCAGCTCACCACCACCTTCTCAAGGGGCATCCAAGGACAGGTAATAAATGATGGTCCAGTAGTGACACACACATTCAATGAAAGAGTACACTTTAAAAATAATTTGTTCAGGCCTGACTGGAGGTGTTCAGGATATACCACTCCATCACTCCGAGAGCTGATTTCTATGATTCTCTACTTAATGTTTCATTAGTTCAGTATGTGATTTCAGTTGTGCTCCTATATAAAGAAGCAGACAGGAACTGTGGTTGTGGGACAAAAACAGAGTTGCTGGAAAAGCTCAGCAGGTCTGGCAGCATCTGCGGAAGAGAAAACAGAGTTAACATTTCGAGTCCGGTGACCCTTCCTCAGAACTGTGGTTGTGGGTTTTGATGATGTATATTTGTACCATGTGTACCTGTAAACAAATACTGTAACTGTGGAAAGATTGGTTCTAGTTTTAGCTCTCATCTCCTCATCTCCTTGGCCACTCTGGATCCCACTGTGAACCTTGGTAAAGGATGAAGAGTATAGGGTACAGCTCTGTGTCCCAGATCAGTGAGCTAAGATGTTGCACATTGCCTCTTCAGTGATATTCCTCCCATTAAATAAGTGTATCTTAAATCCATCTCTCAACACAAGTTCTCACAAGGACAGAGATTTAGATCCCAGATATTTGCTGAGTTTGAACTATCTGACAAGGGCCTCCTAAAACATCATAGAGATTGTTTCAACCATTTGCATTTCTAAGAAATCAGCATTTTTCTGTTTTGCAGTCAGCTTTAATCGATAGGCAACTGTGATGATCAGCTGGTTTGTGCAACCCACACAGTCTCTGCCCCAGCACACACAAAGGCTCAAGTTACCGCCTGCAACTCACAAAGGTCAAAGTCTCAGATCCTCTCACACTCAATCTGGAACATGACATCAGTCTGAAAATATGTGCAGAATGTGCAGACAACGTTTCCCACCGCTGCCACTGAGACCACAGTGAGAAAGCTTGTGCACAGCACACTGACAATGAGACAGCACATAATAAAGTCCCCCTTCTTCCTGGAATCAGATCATAGCTTCAGGCCAAGAATCTACACAGTCACCCAACAAACACGCAGGACAAAGGGTGACAACCAGTGTTCAATCCTGGGGTGGGAGCTGAGAACTGCCCAAGGGATCATCCCTGCCATTATGTTAAGATTAATAAGGAGGAGGTATTAGATGTTTTAGTGGACATAAAGGTGCATAAATCCTCAGGGCTTGATGAGGTGTATTCCAGACAGTGATGGAAGACAAGGGAAGAGATTTCTGGAACCTTGGTGGAAATATTTAATGCTTTGCTGGCCACAAGTGCCAGATGACTAGAGGATGGCTAATGTGGTTCCTTTGTTCAAGATGGGCAGCAGGGATAGGCCAGGTAATTACAGAGCAGTTAGTCCGATGTCAGTGGTAGGGAAATGATTGGAAAACATTCTGAGAGGCAGGATTAATCAAGACTTCGAGAGGTAGCAATTGATCAGGGATAGCCAGCACAATTCGTTAAAGGGAGATCCTCAACTCAGTTAAATTTTTTGAAAAGGTGACAAAATGTCTTGATGAGGATAGTGCAGTTGATGTGGTTTACATGGACCTCAGTAAGGCCTTTAACAAGGTACCACGTGGAAGGCTGCTCCAAAAGTAACAGCCTATGGGATCCAATGCAAGTTAACAAATTGGATCCAAAATTGGAGGCAAAAAATGAAGGTGGAGAATTGTTGCTGTTTATGGAACATTAATAACTTGTTTGTAAATGTAGATAGCATAATTAGAAAGTTTGCAAATGCCACAAAAATTGGTGTTGTTGTTGATAGTGAGGAGGATGGTCTCAGACTATAATCTGATATTGATCAGCTGGTAAATTCAGCAGAGCATTTGCAGATGGAACTTAATTACAAATAGTAAAATGACCTTCAAATTTATTTACAATGAAAGATTAGTACAGGATAGAGTTAGCCCCATAAGAAACAGGCAGGGTAAGCTGCTCACTGAAGCAAAGGATATGGCAGAGGTACTAAATGAATATTTTGCTTCTCTCTTTACCAAATTAGAAAATAGTGACAATGGCCTAGTTGAAAATATATGTGGTGAGCAACTGAACAGTATAGTGATAGATAAAGAGGTGCTAAAAGGGCAACACTCCAGGTAGAGAAGTTACCAGGCCTGGATAGAATGCATCCTAGGTTGCTGAGAAGTTAAGGGAGCAAATTGTGGAGCCATTGATAGAAATTTTCCAGACCTATCTGAACACAGGATTAGTCCTGGAGGATTGCAAATGCGACAACATTGTTTGAGAAAGGGACAAAGGATAACCCAGGAAACTCAACAGCGAGTAAACCAATGGAGGCCATAATAAGGGATAAGATAAATATATAGAGAAAAATAAATTAATACCAGCCAGTCAGCATGATTTTGTCAAGGGCTGG